CAGCAAACCTTCATTTAGTGTCAGCTGTCTGACTCTGCTGGGCACTAGATGCCTTTTCCCCTTCAAATCCTTTGTAACACAAAATTCCTTCATTCTGATCATGTGACTGCTGGGAAATTAATCTTGGGCTTGACCATTCAGCTTTTATCTTTTTCTTTTTTTTTTCAGCTTTTATCAAAAGCCCAGTTGAGCCAGGCGCTGGTGGCTCATGCCTGTAATCCTAGCTATGCAGGACACGGAGATCCAGGAGGATTGTGGTTCAAAGTCAGCCCTGAGCAAATAGTTTGTGAGACCCTATCTGGAAAATAACCATACTATACAGGGCTGATGGAGTGGCTCGAGTGGTAGAGCATCTGCCTACCAAGCGTGAGGCCCTGAGTTCAAACCCTAGTACTGCCAAAAGCCCAGTTGAGAGATTATTTGAAGGATGTGTAGTCTGTTCGTGTCTTCTAGGTTCTGTGTTTACGTTCTGGAATGTAAATCAGAATTTGGGCCATATAGTGTTGGCCCCCATAATACTGCTTTGCTTACATTAAGGGATAAGGCAAAGCCACATAAAACTCATGTTTGCATGTAACTTAATGCTCCTGAGAAAAGGTGTTCACTTCAGTAGACTGAGATATTAAAGATTTTCAAGTTTTTAAAAAAAATTTTATTAGGATATGGGGGAGGGGGGCAGGATTCATAGTGACAATTCTGAATTAGGCTTATAATGTACATTAGTTACGTTATAACTAATAATAAGTTGAGGTGGAGTTCTCTCCCCCTGAACGCACTCAGGTTTCTGATTTTGATTTTCAATTGCTGGCTTTTCTAAATGTAGTAATTTGTATTTTCATATGACAAATTTTAGATAGACGCGCTATGAAGCAATTGTGTAGCACTTGTAGCCCAGTAATGAGTTATACCCAGCATTTGCGTCTTAACCCAGAGGGACTGTGCTGTAGAGTTTGAAGTAACGGACTTACAATGGCAAAATTGTATGCATGCTTTCAAGAGAGGAAGGGTGGCTCCTAAAAGAAGACTGGTAAATGGGGTTGGGGATGTGTGTAGCTCACTGGTAGAATGCTTCCTAGTGTGCACAGGCCTTTGGTTTCCATCCCCAGCACTGCAAGAAAAGAAAACCAGTAAATGAAATGCTTCAAGTTAGAAAGTGGTGGCTTTTATAGCTTTAAGGAAAGCTATAAAAATGTAATTCAGGGATGCAAGGAACCTAGCTTTAGCACAAGCTGTGAAGTAGAAGAGAATTGTAGGAATTATAGGAAATGTGTTATTTATATACATATATACTTCGCCATGTATACACCTTGAGCCACTCCTGCAGCCCTATTTTGTGTTGAGTATTTTTGAGATAGGGTCTTGAGAGCTGTTTGTCCCAGCTAGCCTCAAACCTCAATCCTTCTGATCTCTGCATCCTGAGCAGCTAGGATTATAGGCGTGCACCACCAGCACCTGGCTTGCTGTTTGTTTTTTATTTATTTAGAAGTTGACCTCAAGATTTTATTTTCTTCATAAAAAACCAAAAGCTGGAGCTTAGAATTTGATCACTTGCCCATTTCTCTTATCTCCTCCCAGTTCAAAATGCTTGCATCTCTTAATAGCCAGCATTCTTTAAATCTGTAGTTGGGCTCAACACACTGAAGCCTCAGTACAAAAAAATTGGCTTGGTCTGCCTACTATAGCCACTCTGCTTCATGTCATAACGCCATTTTCCCTGGGTATACTGAGAATCCTTGCCGTTGTACTGTGCCACTTGGTGAGGTTGGTGTTTGCCACACTTTTTTACAGAAAGTCCAGTGGGTTTTAGGAACATTAACCATGATTATGGGAGGGCTATTAGCACCTACTGTTTGTTTTGTAAAAGTATTGTTGCTTTGTTCTTGAGCTTCTTGTTACATATTTCTTTTTGATAGTCTTGGAAATTGTGGGTGACAACAGAAAATTACACTGCTTAGGAGTCTGTAAATGTAAAGATAAATTAGGATTTATGATGGGAGAAAACTTGTGTAATCCTCGTGGCATTAGAACATGTAAAAAATCAGCCAGGTGTGGCCGTCCAAGCCTGTAGTCCCAGCACTTGGGAGTAATCCCAGCAGGAGGATCACAAATCCAAGGCCAGTGTCGGCAACCTAGCAAGACCCTATCTTAAAATGTGTGTGTGTGTGAGATCATTTTGTGTCTTTCAGGCAAAAATAATATACAAATAGCAAGAAAACTATGCTGTTTTGCTTCTGGTCCAGATTCTGCTGTTGACTGTGATTTTTGGAAAGTTGCTCCCTGGACTTAATTTTTCCTCATAAAGGAGATTTACTCTAGATTTCTAGGACATATTTTAACTCCAGAATTACTTTGGGGACATTGACAGAACTTCTTTTTGTATAAGCTTTATTTTTTAAGAAAAATTAAAGTTTATATGCCCCAGACTCAGTTTCTCTTACTATTAGCAACTTACATTATTATGATACTTTTGTTATAATTAATGAACCAATATTGATACCAGTTGATAATATAACTAAAGTATGTGCTTAATGCAGAGTTCCTCTGTTTTTATTTCACTGTCGTTTTCTGTTACAGGATAACACGGTACATTTAGTTGTCATGGCTTCTCTTGGCATGACAGTTTTCCTTGTTCTTGATGATCTTGACTTTTTTGGGGGGGAGGTGGGAGATGGATAAATAGCCCCAACGGGTCAGGGTCCTTCTGCCTCAGCCTCCAGAGTGCTGGAAGTATAGGTGTGCACCATGCCAGGCTTATTAATTGAAATGGGATCTCCTTTTTTGCTCAGGCTAGCTTCCAACTAAGATCCTCCTGATCTCTGCCTCCTGAGTAGCTGGGAATTATAGCCATCATGCCTAACCTGAAAAGTGTAATTCTGGGAATTGTTATTCACTTAAAATGATTATGAAATATATAAGAAATTTGGAGTTCATCATTAGAATAAGATGATTGCCATTTTCCTAGAAAATTGTCAAAATTACAGCCACTGTGGCAGTGAGTGGGAACTATTTTATGTTTTGGGGAGAGATCTTTTCAGTTTCTTTTCCTTTTTGTTTTAGATTTTGCTTGAAAAATGAAAGTTCTCTATTATAAATAAGAGACAAAAAATTAAGTTCTGTTTCTACCCTCTTTTTTATTTCCTTCTCCTTTTTCTTGTTCTTTTAAAAATATCTTTGGGGCTTGAACTCAGGGTATACACCTTGAGCCACTGCACTAGCCCTTTTTGTGAAGGGTATTTTCAAGACAGGGTCTTGAACTATTTGCTGAGATTCTCCTGATCTCTGCCTCTTGAGTAGTAGAATTATAGGTGTGAGCCACTGGTGCCCAGCTAAAAAATCTTTTTAAATTGTGACTAAAATTTTTCTTTTTAAACCGTTTTTAAATGTACAGTTCTGTAGTGTTAAGCATATTTAGCTATTGTGAAATAGATCTTCAGGACCTTTTCATCTTGCAGAATCAAAACTGTACCATTAAACAACTCTCCTTTTCTCTCCCTAGCCCCATTATTCACAATTTTACTTTGTGTATCCATATATTTGACTACTTTAGATACCTTGTGGCTGATGTGCTGCACACCTGTAATCTCAGCACTTGGGAGAAGGAGGCAGAAGGATGGAGAATGAGAAACCAGCCTGAGCCACATAGCGAGATCAAGACCCTGTCTCAACCAAAAATTAAATAAAAGTGAGCACAGTGTCTCACGCCTGTAGTCCTAGCTACTTTGGAGGTGGAGATTGCAGTTCAAGGCCATAAGTTCACAAGACCCCATCTCAATCAGTGAAAAAGCTGAGCAAAGTGGCTTGTGCCTGTCATCCCAGTTACATGGGAATCATAAATAGGATTATAGGAAGATTGTGTTCCAGGCTGGCCTGGGCATAAACAGGGAGACTGTTCCAAAAAAAAGAAAAACTAAAGCAAGCACAAGGCCCTGAGTTCAAACTCTTGTACTGCTAAATAAAATAAGGAAAAAAGTTTAGTCATGCAGTTTTTGTCCTTTTGTAACTGATTTTTATTTGCTTAGTCTGATGTCTTCAAGGTTCATCCCCATACTATCATGTGACAGGATATTCTTTTAAGGTTGAACAGTATTCCATTGTAAGTATATGCCACATTTTGTTTATCCATCCATCCGTTGATGGACATTTGGGTTGCTTCCATTTCTTAGTTATCATGCTTCTTTGAACATGGCTGTGAAAAAATATCTCTGAGATCCGGCTTTCAATTATTTTGGCTGCACACCCAGAAATGGGCTTGCTGGATCATAAGGTGACTGCTTTTCTATAGCAATTGTACCATTTTATAATCCCATCCACAGTACACAAGGGTCCAACTTCTTCACATTCCTGTAAGCATTGACTGTTGTATGTATGTTATTCCTGGATTATATTTTTATCAAAAATGTAATTTTTTAAAAGTTTTTCAGACTTTACCTGGTGTGGTGGCACAAACATGCAGTCCCATACTTGGGAGGCTGAGGCAGTGATAATGAGTTCCAGACCAGACTGGACTACATAGTGAGACCTTGTCTCAAAAACATGACCTGGGGGATGTACCTTAAAAGGTAGAGCACCTGCCTAGCAAGCATGAGGTGCTATGTTCCCAGTACCACCAAAAAATAAAATTGTTTTTTTTTTCAAACTGGGGATCAGACTCACTGCCTTGGTTATGCTATGAAGGCACTGTACCACTGAGCTACATTTCCAGCCTCTGTGTTCTTATCTTCGTCATAATGATTTTTAGCTGAACCCATGGGCTCATGCTGAGTTTAGAGCATGGGAAGCAATCAGCCAGGGAAAAAGCAGACTGGTGAGCAAAAGTAATTGTGGCTGTTGGAGAAAGGCAAGAATTCACAGTTTGTCATAAAGGGAAAATTGAGAGGAAAAAAACAATACTGTGTGCGTTGTAGGCTTTTTGTTCCTTTTTTTTTTTTTTCTTTTTCTTTTCAGTGGCATGTTAAGGGGCAGCAGGGGAAAAAGAATAATGAACTTTAGTGTGCATAAGGGAGCTGAGAAATGTCTTAAGGTGAGTGGAGGATTCTTGGGAGAACACCATGCAGAACAACCCAAAGGAGTAGCTCTGATTGCTAGCTAGAAAATGTTAGATTTTTGCAAACACGGACTCCAGTGAAAGAGTTTTGGAGTAACGAGTCTGTCATCTGGGTGTGGGATTACTGAGTTCAAAGAGGAACCAATGAAGCCACAGTAATAACAGGATGCCAGTAAGTTATCCTGATGTTGGTAATGGAGGAGGAAAGATAGTTGTTTGAGTGTCTTCGTGGAAAGAGGAAATAAGAAAAAAGGGTATTGTGTCTGTATCAAGTATGCGTAAGTGCATGTGCATGCTTGGTCTTTTAATTGTACATATTCTACTTGTTTCTTGCCCAACCTCTTGGCTCTGACTTCTTGGGCTCCCAAACAGAATCCACCTACTGCCAAATTTTCTGCATTCACATGGCTCAGTTTTTTATTTCTTTACATCTGTGCTCCTTGGAAAGAGGGCCCACCTACTAAAACTCAAGGAACTTAATTGCTTAGAAGATGGTCTTTGGCTTAATATGTTTATTGTGTGATCCTAAAATACCAAGTTGAAAACGTGTCTAACACTTGATCTTTGAACAACAGCGGTAGTATCCGTATATGTTTTTAATGGGAAGTGAGTTATTGCCTCTGTTATTTCAATGTTTTAGTGAGTACTCATTGTAAATTAGTATGCGAAAGGTCTTTTAAGTCCATTGTGAAACAATTTACAAATGCAAGCGGTTAGTTGGCAATGTATGAGTACAATGTTTTGAAACATACAATGTAGGAGCACAACGGCAATGTTTGAGTATTGTTTTGAAATTTTCTTGAAAATTTTTTTTTTTTTTTTTTTTTTTGAGGTATTGGAGTTTGAATTCAGGGCATCACGTTTGCTAGGCAGGTGCTTTATCACTTGATAAAAGTTTTTGCTCTGGTTATTTTGGAGATAGTGTCTCATGTTTTGCTTAGGCAGGCATGGACCTTGTTCCTCCTGTTTTATGCTTTACAACCTTGGTGGGGTGAGGTGCCTGTGCCCAGCTTTTTCATTAGTTGAGATGGGATCTCACAAACTCCTTCCCTAGCCTTCCCCCCAACCAGGATCCTCCCCATCTCAGCCTCCCAAGTAACTAGGATTACAGGTGTGAGCCACCATACCAAGCTTGAAATTGCATCTTTTAACTATCTGGTTTTAGGAAAACCCCTTAATTTCTCTGGATTCACTTTCCTTATCTATAGGATGAAGTAAAGTAAAGTTTAGTTCTTTGATTTGAAAGCCTTAGTTTTGTTTTGTTTTTTTTGTTTTTTATAGCACTGGAGTTTGAACTCAGGGCCTCACACTTGCTAGGCAGGTGCTCTTTACCACTTAAGCCACTTCGCCACGCCTGTTTTGTGTTACATATTTTGAGATAGGGTCTTGGGAATTAATTACCTGGGCTGGCTGCAAACCATGATCCTCCTGATCTCTGCCTTCCAAGTAGCTAGGATTATAGGAGTGAGCCACTGGTGCCCAGCTGAAAGCTTTAGTTTTAAAAAAGGAAAGTGGGAGAGGTTAGTGGTCTTTATGAAATTTTTAGAATAGGAGCCAGCACATTTTACTTATTTTATTCTTTTTATATGTAGATCATGGAAGGGAAGTGGTTACTGTGTATGTTACTTGCCCTTGGAACTGCCATCATTCAGGCTCATGAGGGACATGATGATGATATGATTGATATTGAGGATGATCTCGATGATGTCATTGAAGAGGTAGAAGATTCGAAATCAAAACCAGATACCAGCACTCCCCCATCTCCAAAGGTTTGAAGTGCTTTTTGAATCTATTCTTTTTACCTCTTGGTAAAATAATTATGAAGATAGAGGTTGGGGATGTAGTTCAGTGGTAGAGTGCTTGGCTGGCATGTGTAAGGCTCTGAGTTTGATCCCCAGCACTAAGAATATTTTCAAAAATAACAAATACAAGGACGAACTGGATCCTTTTCAAAGGAAAAGAAGTTAACTAAAATTGTTACTGATCTTTCTGGCAGCCTTTGTTATATATTGCCAAAGATCTGTATGGATTGAATTCAAGGGCCTGTTATGAGAGTTTTGTGACAGTTGGCAAGCCAAGAAAATAAGTTCTAAGAAAAGAATTTGCTGAAAAAGTTTTTTGAGACGTGGTCTCACTATGTAGTCCCAGGATGGCCTGGAACTTGTGACTATCCTGTCTCAGCATCCTCAGTGCTAGGATTTGCAGACATGAGCACTATGCCCAGCTAAAATTTCAGTTCTTAATTCACTTTTATGTTTTTAACATAGGTTACCTACAAAGCTCCAGTTCCAACAGGAGAAGTTTATTTTGCAGATTCATTTGACAGAGGATCTCTGTCAGGGTAAGTATTTTTCTATGGAGAAAACTATTATAGGTGAACATCATGTAAATAAGATAGATCCCTTTTGGATGTCACTTTATCTAGTGACATTCTAGCCTTTGTATCTCCATTGTTCACCCTCTACCCTAAATTTTGTTTGGTAAAGCTTTTTCTCTTGAGTCTTAAAAGAATAATCTCAGTTTTGGTACTTTTTCTTACTGTTTGTGAGTTGAATATGATGTTTTATCATTAATTGTGTGACAGACTTAAATGTTGAAAGCAAAGTGGTTAAGTAGGGTAAGGAGCAGAATAGGTGCTGCTTTTATGAGTGTTTACATTGTTTCTCTTCACAGGTCAACTGTTATTTGAATCTTAATTTTCGGGTTTGTCTTAACTACAGGTGGATTTTATCCAAAGCCAAGAAAGATGACACTGATGATGAAATTGCCAAATATGATGGTAAGAATTCCATTTGGTTTAGATATAATATCAGATTAAGGAGACGTGTTGTCTCCATGGCATCTTTTAAGGCTTGTTTATATGTTTTGTTTCTTTGTTTTGGTGGTATTGGGATTTGAACTCAGGACCTCATGCTTATGAGGCTTGGGCTCTACTGCTTGACCTGTTCCATCAGCCCTTAAGGCTTGTTTAAAAGAAGATATGATTAAAGATTTTTTCCTTGAGAACTGTTGTGCCATCTTTTTTGTGTTCCCTTATGTGATAGGATTAGACCTATTTAATCACCTGTGCTGCTGTATGTTAGTTCTTTTCTAGGCATTGATGTAATGAGTATGCTACAGTTTATTTTTAAAAACTATCCTATTTAGCAAATATGTGTGCTTCATATTAATAGCCCAACTCTCAATAGATCAAAGGAATATGTTAAAAATTCATTGGTTGGTTATGTTTAAAAGACCTCCAGAAGGTGTAGTTAAAGGGTAGAAAGCTCTTTTGTGTTGTCTTGTAGGAAAGTGGGAGGTAGATGAAATGAAGGAAACAAAGCTTCCCGGCGATAAAGGACTCGTACTGATGTCTCGGGCCAAGCATCACGCCATCTCCGCTAAACTGAACAAGCCCTTCCTATTTGATACCAAGCCCCTCATTGTTCAGTAAGTGAAATGCTTGTTTGATAAAAGCTTCCTAGCAGGGTAATAACAGAAAACATTATAAAGCTATTACTCTATGTAAAAAAAAAAAAGAGAGAGATTATATAAATTACATTAGAATTTGGATGTGAATTTAAACATCGTGATATTAATTTTTTGTTTTTTTTTTTAACTGCTCAACATTATTTTGGAGCACATTGGCTATTCATCCTTCTCATAGTAAATGAACATCTGGATTTTGCAAGAAATATTTACTGGGAATCTGAATTAAGGTTTAATTTTGTTTTACTTAAATATTTTTGTGGGATTGTGTAGCCATGCAAAAGAATAGAAGATGGAGTCTTTCTTAAAGATAAGCATATGACCTATGACAAAATTTAACGACCAGCATGGGGGAAAGAAATAACAAGATTTGCTCTTTCAAAATGTCATGTAGTTTTTTTGCTTTTCTTTCTGAAATTAGGTATGAGGTTAATTTCCAAAATGGAATAGAATGTGGTGGTGCCTATGTGAAACTGCTTTCCAAAACACCAGAACTCAACCTGGTAGGTACTTCTGTTTGTTGATGTAGCTAGCCACACACAAATTATTTACAAGTCTTAGGGCTTGGAATGTAGCTCAGTGGCCCAATGCATGCCTAGCATGTGAATGAGAGATGAGAGAGAGAGAGAGAGAAACAAAAGAAGGTTTTGTAAGACCTATGAAAATAAAAGTCTACTCCACTGCTGTTAACCTTTTGGAGGGTTGAAAATACTGACTTTGACACTACAGTGCTTTTTACTTAAAATACAACTTTTCAAACAATTACCAACTGTATGTGATCTCTAGTTACTGACCTATTTTTTGGTTTTAGCAAGTTTGTTTTATGAAAGATCCAGTAACTAAATATATGTATTACTTTGTTTTTCTAAACCACATAAATACAGTATTTTAAATTTTCTGATGATTGCTTATTCCTTTTCAAACAAACCCTATGAAGGAATCAGCTTTTCTTTAACTGTGACTAATTTGTTTGGAGGTTTATAAGAGGAAGTGTCATACACTTTTGAAAGGTTAATTTTGAACTCTTTGACTTGAGTTACCTAAAATAATCCATCTTTGTTTTAAAGGATCAGTTCCACGACAAGACCCCATATACAATTATGTTTGGTCCAGATAAATGTGGAGAAGACTATAAATTGCACTTCATCTTCCGCCACAAAAACCCCAAGACGGGTGTATATGAAGAAAAGCACGCTAAGAGGCCAGATGCAGATCTGAAGACTTATTTTACTGATAAGAAAACACATCTTTACACATTAAGTAAGAAAAAACAGTAGTTTGGGTATTTTAAGGTTTTACGGGTTGTCATATGTTTAATGTAGAGATTGTATACCTGGAGATTAAGAACAGTCTTTGAGAGCTGCGGGCATGGCTCAAGCGGTAGAAACCTGCCTAATAAGTATGTAGTCCTGAGTTTAAACCCTGGTACTGTCAATAAACAAACAAAAAATCCAGAAATGAACTAAAAAAAAAAAAAAACTGTTGACTGGTGCTTTTGTGTCAAATCAGTTTTGTAGGTTTTTGATTTCTTTAGTGTCCATAAATGATGTCTTGGTGTTTTTTTGTTTTTTGCTTTGTCTTTTGTTTCTGTTTGTGAGATGGGATCTCACCATATAACCCAGGATGACCTTGAGCTCTTTGATTTTCCTGCTTCAGCCTCCCAACTACTAAGATGCATCAACTCACATGACTAGTTCTTTGTTGTTTAATTTCTTTTGTGCGTGTTTGATTTTGTTGTTGTTGCCTCTGCTTCTCAAGTGCTAGAAGTTGTACACCTTCATACCTAACTTGTGTTACAAATTTTAACTGTCTGGCTAGGGATGTAGTTCAGCACATTTGCCTAACATGTACAATGCCCTGGGTTTAATCCCCAGCACAATTTTAAACCATCCTTTGTTCTGATTCCTATAAACCTGAGGAAATGACATTTACATTTTACAAATAAAAATCTGTGGGTTATCTTGTCCTATGCCCCCAAACCAGGCATTATTGATTCTAGTGCCTGAGCTCTTTGCTTGATGCTTCCACAGTGGTGCTTTCTGTTAGAAGTTGTGACATGTGATGAAGGGAGTTTGGAAATGAGTGGTTAATTAACTGCTTTTAATTGTATTTTTTTCAGTTTTGAATCCAGATAATAGTTTTGAAATACTAGTTGACCAATCTGTTGTGAACAGTGGAAATCTACTAAATGACATGACCCCTGCTGTAAATCCATCACGTGAAATTGAGGACCCAGAAGACCGGAAGCCTGAAGACTGGGATGAAAGACCCAAAATACCAGATCCAGATGCTGTCAAGCCAGATGACTGGTGAGACTTGGGGACTTACCTTTGAGTATAAGGGAGTATCTTCCACATGGCTTAAGCATCCAAATGCTGATTGAATGAGATCTGATCATTTAAATGTTCTGTGATGCAAACTGGGAGAGATGGTTCATGTCTCAGGCTGAGGCAGGAGGAACAAGAGTTTACCCCAGCCTAGCGGGCCTGTCTTGAAAGAAAGGAGTTGAGCACTGGTGGCTTACACCTGTAATCCTAGCTACTCAGGAGGCAGAGATCAGGACAATCACTGTTCGAAGCCATCCTGGGCAAATAGTTCGTGAGACCCTATCTTGAAAAAACCCATCACAAAAAAAGGGCTGGTGGAGTAGTGTAGGCCTCAGTTCAAACCCCAGTACTGTTTAAAAAAAAAAAAAAAGAAAAATCTATGATGCCATCAATCTGCAGGAGAAAATTAGATTACTATAGCTGAAAAGGGGCCAATAGTGATAATCTAGATTGTCACACAGGATCTTATAAACCATAAGATGCAAAATCAGTGATATAGTTTGTCTTTTGTGATACAGTTAGTTGGTGACATTCTTTTGTCCCAGCCATTCAAGTGCTCTTTGTTGTTGTTTTGGTTGTTACTCCTTTTTTTGGTGCTAGGGATTGAACTCAAGGCTTTATGCATGCTAAGCATGTGTTCAGCCACTGAGCTACACCCTCAGCCCCTCCACTGTGTCTGAATTCACATTTAAAGCTAAAGCCTTCAAATGTTAAATTTTAATTTGGAAAAAAATGTTTTACCTAATCAATATTCTATGATCTCTGCTGTGTGGGGGATGGGATAATACAGAGCTCCAAGAACACTGTTTCAATACACAGAGTTCCCAGTCCAGTTGTGACACAGGTAAGTACCATTAGTTTGTAGAGTGGTAAATAGGCTAGGAGAAGATCACCAGTGTACCAGGCATGGTTGCTTAGGGTAAAGCAAATTGAGATCTGAAAGCTCGGTGGGATTTAACTAAGTGGTAGAGATGGAAAAAGCATTCCTAGTTGAAGAAGAACATGTGCTGAAGTAGAGCAGCTCATGCATGCATGAGTTTAACATGGATGAGAGAAATAAACTATTACATTGTCTTTTGTGTAGGGTGAAAGTGGGAGAATATGAAAAATAAGACAAGTGGGGTCATGTTCTCATACGGCCACATTTGAACTCCAATTTAGTAACTTGCAGAAATGTCAGAAGAGCAAAGAAATAATAAAAAAGCAAGTCTTACCATTTTTAAAATAAAATAAAAATACTTTGCTGAGTATCCTGTACTTAGCAATTAAATTCTAGTTGATCTTTTCCTTCTTGAAAGTTAAGATATATGGACCAGGCAGAGGGACTCAATCTTGTAGTCCAGCAACTCAGGAGGTAGAGATTGGGAAGACCACAGTTCAGGTCAGTCCAAGCATAAAGTCTCTGAGACCCCATTTCAACTAATGCCTGGATGTGATGGCATGTATCTGTCATCTCAGCAACACAGGTAAACACAAATCACAGAATCGCAGTTCACGCTGGTTGGAGCATAAATAGAAACCCTATCTCAGAAATAATCAACACAGAAAGGACTGATGGAGTGGCCCAAGTGATGAGTGCCTGCCTAGCAATTTCAAGGTCCTGAGTTCAAAATCCAGTACCACTTTAAAAAAAAAATGTTAAATGTATCTGAACTTTTATGAAGCACTAGTATAAATGTGGTTTATTTGTGTATATGGTGTTAGATTTAGAGTCAGATTTGTTCAGTATTGTGTTCCCTAACTAGCTGTTTTGTTCTAGGGATAGATGGGAGGAAATGTTGGATTGAAAAAAAAAAAAAAAGATCAGTTGAAAGACATTCTTGAGGTTCTCATACACTTTAAAACTTGGACTGGCAGGGGTAACTTAAGTGGTTGCAGCATCTGCCCAGCAATTGAGGCCAAGTTCAAATCTCAGTCACAAAAAAAAAAAAAAAAAAAAAAAACAGTTCAGGAAAACCTGGGCTAGGTGCTGGTGGCTCATGTCTGTAATCTTAGCTGTTTAGGAGGCCTAAGTCAGGAGGATTGGAAGTTTGAGGCCAGCCTGGGCAAATAGTTCAAGAGACTCCCCCATCTCCAAAATAACCAGAGTAAAATGGACTGGAGGTGTGGCTCAAGTGGTAGAGCGCCTGCTTTGCAAGTGCAAAGCCCTGAGCTCAACCCCAGTTCCGCAAACAAATTACCTGGTACTGTTATTGCTCAGTGAGTGCAATGAGGCTTTGTGTTCAATCCCCAGCAATACAGTCTTGCCAAGGATAGAGGATATCTCTGGTTATCAATTAAAGTGATATTATCTTATAGCAGCTGCATAAAACTTTGAAATGGGTACTTTCGATTAACTTTTATCTTAGGAGTAATTTTTTCAGGTATACAAACAGTGGTCTTTATTGTATTCCAATGTTATGCAATTATCACGACTGTCTAATTTTATTTTTTTGGTGGTACTAGGGTTTTGAACTTAGGGCCTCATGCTAGCTAGGTTCTACCACTTGAGCCTTTCCACCAGCCCAGTTTTGTGTTGTATTTTCAAAAACTATTTACCCAGGCTTGCTTCAAACCAAGATCCTCCTGATCCCTGCCTCTGGAACAGTTATAATTACAGGCTTGAGTCCCCAGTGCCCAGACTAATTTTAAAAGTATGTTTATCACCCCCCATATACTTAGTCCCCTTGCCACAGCTCCTGGCAACTGCTAACCTGCTCTGTGGATTTTCCCATTCTGGATATTTCATGTAAAGAGAGTAGTATGGGATATGTGTCTTATTTCAGGCAGATGAAATGTTAACATAAATGTTTTTAAGGTTCATCTTTGTTGAAACATGTACACATAACTCATTCCTTTTTATAACTGAATATTTCATTATGTAGATAATATATTTTAATTATCCTTTGGTAGTTGATGGACATTTAGGTTGTTACCCCTTTTTTATTGTAGTTATGAATAATGTACTTATGACTGTTCACATACTGGGTTTTGTTTGGATATGTACTTTCACTTCTCTTGGGTAGATGTCTAAAAATGGAATTGTTGGGTCATATGGTAACTCTAATTTTTTTTGAAGAACTATCAAAACTTTTCCAAAGTAGTTGCACCATTTAATTTTTCTGCCAGCAGTGAATAAGACTTCCAGTTTCTTCATATCTTCCTCACCAACCCTTGGTTGTTTTTTTTTTCTTTTTTTGCGGTACTAGGGTTTGAACTCAGGGCCTACAACTTGAGCCACTCCACCAGCCCTTTTTTGTGAATGTTTTTTTTTGAGATAGGGTCTCACAGAACTGTTTGTCCTGGCTGGCTTTGAACCTCGAGCCTCCTGATCTCTGCCTCCTGAGTAGCTAGGATTATAGGCGTGAGCCACCAGTGCCCAGTTTTATCAGTCTTTTTTTTTTTTTTTTTTTTTTTTTTTTTTTTTTATTCATATGTGCATACACTGTTTGGGTCATTTCTCCCCCCTTCTCCCACCCCCTCCCTTATCCCCCTATCAGTCTTTTTTATTGTAGGCATTCCATGTGGTTTTGATTTGCAGTTCCCTGATGGCTAATTATGTTCAGTAGCTTTTCTTTTTTATTATTATTATAAAAATTTTTTATTATATATATTTGTTTTACCTGGGGGGGGCAGGAATTAATAATGACAGTTCCAATTAAGCTTATTGTACATTGGTTAGATCATCCCCATCTTCTCACCCCATCTGTTCCCTCCCTGCCCCATTTAAAGCAATTGAAAGAGGTTTGTTATATAGCATATGAGGTCCATCAACTATATATACCTTTACCTTAATCTCCTTAATTCACCCTCTCTGGTCCCACTAGTACATCCCCAGACACACTGTACCTATTTTACAGTCATGTCTTTCATTATTAATATTTAAGTTGATGTTCAAAAGAGTTTCTCTATCCCCACCATGGGTATACTTTATTTTAGCCCATTCAGCCCCTTCCATTACTCTCCCTTACTCCTTTACCTCCCACCCCTCCTTTTTCAACAGCTTTTAATACATATCCTTATATCCTCTGCCTTCACAGATGTTATATTTTATGATACTACTGATGTGTGTTAAGTATCTTTTCATGTGATACTCATTTTTGGTTATTTGTAGTTCCTTTGGAGAAATGTCTACTCAAATAATTTTGAGTTGTCTTTTTTGCTGAATTGTAAAAATTCCTTATTATGGATAGTAGGCCCTTTTCAGAAATATGATTTACAAATACTTTCTAGGAGGAATTATTTTAAATTTTGATATTAGGACCTAAATATTTTTGGGCTGCTGTTTCAGTTGCACAGAGTGACAGTACACTGTGATTCTCTGGCCAGTGCTGTCATAACTGGTGCTTCTGTGTTTAAGGGATGAAGATGCTCCTGCTAAGATTCCAGATGAAGAGGCCACAAAACCTGCAGGCTGGTTGGATGACGAGCCTGAGTATATACCTGATCCAGATGCAGAGAAGCCAGAGGATTGGTAAGAATTTGAGTTAGTGTTTATTTTTATTATTTTGTTACTAAAGTAAACTTAATACTTATATACAGCCAAGTACCTGAACTTAAGGAGAGAGCTCTACAGTTTTAATTGTATTTCATTATTTGTTACTGGATGTGAGAAATAAGAGAAGATGGTGTTCTGTAGTATTACGCAGGTCTCAGGAGTGCTGGACTGGCTGGATGTTCATAGTTCTGCATCTTATTTGTAATTTGTTGTTTACATTTCCACAGGGATGAGGACATGGATGGAGAATGGGAGGCTCCTCAGATTGCCAACCCTAAATGTGAGTCAGCTCCTGGGTGTGGTGTCTGGCAGCGACCTATGATTGACAACCCCAATTATAAGGGCAAATGGAAGCCTCCCATGATTGACAATCCTAACTACCAGGTTTGTGCCTTTTGATAGTTAAGTGCTTTCATTAATCTGTGTGTATCTAGATAGAAGTTTTTATCTGTAGTGGGACTGCCAGGTGGCCACTATTTTCAAACTGTTGAATAGAGAGCAGAAAGTAAAGTTTGTAAGTTAAATGTTACAACACCAAATGTAGAATTGCTTTGTGATTTATGGTAAAGAGAGGAGAAATGGAGAGTTTGTTATCTCAGTACCTGTCAGATGGCAGCCTTAGGATCTAGATTTTAAGATTGCCCTCTTTGTGACATAGAGTATAAGGGACTGTGATAGGGGTTGGCACCTTGATATGTCAAGTCAGCTCACTTCTTGGCCTCAATGTCTTCATCTGTGAAACACAGGCTCACATGAGATGATGAGCATGCCTGTAGTGGAGTTAGGGAGCGCCACATTTGCTGTGGAAGTGTACTCACTCAGACCTCTTTTCTGGGTTTCTTGTTGTTTTGCTTTTTGTTTGTTTTTGCGATACTAGAGTTTGCTCTTTTCTGTTTCTAACCAATAGAACTATTTATAATCATTGATTTCTCCTTTGTCAGACTTTTAAGATTTACGGTATATGCCTATCCATGCATACAATAGGTGTATGGTTTTCTGTTGTAAAATGTATTTAATTGTGCACTTAAACAGTTAAGATAAAATGAAAATTTTCACTCAATAATTGCCATTTAGCTGTTCTTTAGTGGCCATGTACTGAATTGCCATTTTTGCTTTTAGAGTCTGTGTAGCAGTAAATCATCTTTGTATATGTCTGATTTCTATAGTAAGTATTTTTCTAACAAGGCGTTAGTTTGGAAAAGGTCATGAATATTAGAAATCCAAGAAACAGTATATAAAAAATCATCACTTCCTTGATGATGCAGAATCATCAAAATAGTTGTTTTTTTGTTGATCATCATCTGAAGTAAATTTCTCAAAAAAATTTATTTATTTATTTATTTTTTAGGGAATCTGGAAACCCAGGAAAATACCAAATCCAGACTTTTTTGAAGATCTAGAACCTTTCAGAATGACTCCTTTTAGTGCTATTGGTTTAGAGCTGTGGTCCATGACTTCTGACATTTTTTTTGACAACTTTATCATTAGTGGAGATCGAAGAGTTGTTGACGATTGGGCCAGTGATGGATGGGGCCTGAAGAAAGCTGCCGACGGGGCTGCTGAGGTTTGTGCTTGCTCATTTCCAGTGCATTCATATCTGCTACTATAGGTAACTACAAAAGTTTGTGAAAAGCCCTCTTAGTGTTTGTCTTTTCCATTATTTGGGAAATAGTGTCACAAGAAAGTATAGCTATATATGCCTGCTAAAGACAAAATACTGGAGTTTTGGACAGGATTTCATTAGTCTGATGTAGTGGCTTTAGACTCTTTTTGTGTTATGTGCAGGGTGTTTGCCACAAGAGTTTATAAGACAGCCTTCATTTTTTTTAAACAGACCCTAACCAGAGAGTTATTAAATTGACACTACCCAGAGACCACCCTTCTTCATGACGCACCTCCACTCAGTTTTCATTTCTTTTATTCTGAGTGAAATTGAACATCTTTTCCTACGTTTAACATATATGTCTCAATTTATTATTTAGGGTATGCTCTTAAAGAATCTTTGTTTATCCTGTGTACACAATTTTCAAACAACTAGTGATGTGACTGAGATACTAAAATTAAGAAATTCTAATTTCCCTTTTACATTATATGAAAATCTTAGCTTGACCCCTTCTTAAAAGGAGGAGCCTAAGTAGTGCCATGCTGTTACTGAATAGTTGGACAAGCAGAACAACTTGTTTTTGGTGTCAGAAGCCAGTATTTTGCATCATTGCTATCTTGTCTTTCAGCCAGGTGTAGTGGGGCAGATGCTGGAGGCAGCTGAGGAGCGCCCATGGCTCTGGGTGGTCTACATTTTGACTGTAGCTCTGCCTGTGTTCCTTGTTATCCTCTTCTGCTGTTCTGGAAAGGTAGGAATGGTTTTTTGGAACCACTTAGAAAGAATTTGTGATGTTAAAAATAACTAAAATAGGGCTGGTAGACTAGCTCAAGTGGTAGAGAGCCTGCCTTGCAAGCATGAGGCCCTGAATTCAAACCCCCTCCGCCCCCACCCCCCCACCCCCACACAAAAAAAAGGTTAAAGAAAATAAACTATATCAGTGAGGTTTTCTTTGTAGCAGCTACATAATGACTGGGCCCCATTTTGTGTTGACTTCTAAAACATTCACTACTATTTGGTGGCCACTTATTTTGTCCAGATAGGAGTAGGATTTATGTCCCTCTGTTGTCACTATTATTTAACTTACTCTGTTACTCAAAATTTGTTGCAATTTTTTCCAATTTTTAAATTGTTCTAGATAGGGGTACATTGTAGCATTTACAAAAATTTTTACAGTATATCAAATATGTGATACTTCAATTCACCCCCTCCCCTGGTGGCAACTTTCTAAGAAAAAAGAATAACAACTTAGATATAAAATCAGCCATCTGGGCACAAACTTTTGTTTCCTCTTGGCATTGCTGTTTCAGTTCTACTTTGTAATTTCACCTTTGATTTCTCATTATCGTTTTCTCTCTTACTGCCCCCACCCAGTCAAAAACAATACATGTAGGGTTCCACAGCCTCATTGTTTTTCTTGTTTAGCCCTCGTAGAAAGCTCTCTGCTTCTGTTGAGGATTATGCTTCACTTGGCATTCATAGCACTTTGTAACCAGATCCAGAGTTCTCTTTTCAGCCTTATGCCATCACTATTTCTGTGCCTAAGTCAACTTGACATGCTAGACCTGAACTTTCCCACCTGACCCTTTGTTCTTACTGTTTCTTCTACCTACCACACATGTACTCATGAAGAGAAACCTCTTTGAGATAGGAGTTACATCTTTCTATAAATCTGCCCCATATACAGCCTGGTACAGAACTTTGCCCAGAGGTGTTCAGTGATTATATGATAATGTAATACATGAAAATGTGAGCAAAGTTATATTTTGGGGAACATTTCAGAAACAGCCCACTGCTATGGAGTACAAGAAAACAGATGCTCCCCAACCAGATGTGAAGGAAGAAGAAGAGGAAAAGGAGGAGGATAAGGATAAGGGAGATGAGGAGGAAGAAGGTGAAGAAAAACTTGGTAAGAAGTAGTCCCCTCAAAATCTGCTTTAAATGAAGAGACCGAGATGTTGTTTTAAACCCTGATAAACAACTTGCAATGCAGGTTTAGATGACACTAATTGTCACCAAAGTCAAGTGTAAAGTTTTACTCAGTTGTTTCATTTCTGTCTTAGAAGAGAAACAAAAAAGTGATGCTGAAGAAGATGGTGGTACTGTCAGTCAAGAGGAGGATGATAGGAAACCTAAAGCAGAGGTAAAAGAAGGGGTAATACCTTTTTTATTTCACACAACTAAATTGAAGGTATATTTTAAGTAAAGGGGATATTTTCATAGGGTAATTTACAATAGCTGTGGCAGTAAAAAAAATTTGTGAAAGTAGGATCTTAATGGTACAGGTCAGCATTTCATTAGATAATTTTAAGCTACATCTGATTCTCAAAAGTATTTTTCTGTGCTGAACATGGTTTTCTGAGATAAGCAGAAGTGTTGGGGGCAATATAATAGATGCATTCTAAGATGAGAGTGTTTATCTATCTGTCTACCTCTCCTCAAAAGTATTTTCTGCACAAATTACTGTATCCTAACTTTGTCCCTACTCATGGGTTCATTCATTCACTTAACTATTTGTTGAGTGCCCATTATGTAGCAGGCATTCAAAGATAACCCTGCCTTTGGGGGGCTTAAATTCTAGTAGGGGAAGCTAGATAATAAGCACTAGACATTTAGAAGGAATGACACTATATTAGATGAGCTATGAGAAGTTAGGATGGGAAATGGTAGCAGAAGTGCTGGAGGTGGGGTGGGTTACAGTATCAAAGACCTGATTGGAAAGATGACATTTGAGCAAAGACTTGAATGAGACAAAAGGACTTTTCTGTTAGGATGTCTATGGGAAGAGCATTCTAGGTAGAGTTCAGTCAGTAATGAGGCCTAAAGCAGTAGTGCAAACGGCCAGGATGGCCAGTAGTGAGTAAGAGTGGAGAAAGGAGGATGGCAAAGGCTCCAGATGTGGTGGGCTTCACAGGCCATTATGTGAACTTGGCTTTTTCCTCCTAGTATAATGGGCAGCCATTGTGGGCTTTGGAGCACAGATTTGACAGGATCTGATCACTCTGGTTTCTCTAGGTCAGGGAGAGACCAATTAGGAGGTCCTGTAATAATCTAGACAAGCTGTGATAGTTCTGAAGAGATTGATAGGAGAAAAGGGTAGTTGAAGGGTTTCTGGATCTAGGTTCTGTGGGTTATGCAAGAGAGAATACTTAACTGTCCATACCTTTGCTTACCATTGTCTTTTCTCCAGTACCTCTGTGTGTGGTTCATAGTGCAAAACTATTCAGGTTTCTTTTCTAGCTGCCTTAGCTCTGCCTTCCTGTTGATAAAGGTCAGTGCTGTTTTTACCTTGCGTTTTTAATGAATGTGTTCTATCTTAAGTAGAATGCAGGTCCTAAAGGTAGGGACCACATCTCACATGCTTTTTCATCTCCCAGACTGTCTCATTTAATAAAAAATGTTGCTCCTGGGATTAAGTAAAGGTAGCATTTACAATGCTAGTGATTGACAATCTTAAGAATTTGTGGTAGAGTAGAAACAGCACTGGGTTTATAATCTACAGATTGTCTTCCATCTTATTTTGGATCAAAATGGAGCTAACGTGCCCACAGGCAAGTAGTTTGTTTAGGATTAAGCAAGGTAACATGTAAAAGTAGAGAGTCTGATCCTTTTTAAAGAAAATGTTTATGGACTTGGTTGAGAAAAGTACAAACTGAATACATATATTCCCGCTACTACTGTGGGTGACAAGCAGTGTGTTTTGTGTGTTTTCTTCTCTTTCTTTTTTTTCCTCAAATGGCTTGCTCTTAGTCTTACTTGTTCTTAGAAATTTGGTAGAGTTTTCTTTTTAAATGTACCAGTTATAGTGAATTTTTCTTTTTTTCAACCAATAGGAGGATGAAGTTTTGAACAGATCACCAAGAAACAGAAAGCCACGAAGAGAGTGAAACAATCTTAAGAACTTGATCTGTGATTTCCTAATCCCTCCCCTTCCCTGCAAGTGTGGTCCTAGGAGAGGGCCTGGCATATCTTAGGTTGAAACTCAGAAAACCTCAAGACGACACCACCAACAGGTTCCAGCTGAACACTAGTCTGTGTAATTTTAAACATCTAGCAGTAAATAATTGCAGTTGTGACATAAAGGGCCCTGTTTCTGTAGAAAAGAAAACATTTAACATAATGGTTGTGAAATGTAACATGAAGCAACTAACTTGCATTTTTGTTTTGTTTTTAAACTTTTTTTTTAAATAGAATGATAGAATTTTTGTCAGTCTAAAATCTTGGCTTAATTTAATATATTAATCTGTCCATGCAGAATAACACCAACATTTAGAAATGCTGGGGGTGGGGAGGGTGAATTGCAGTTTTTACAACAATTTTTTTTAAGTTTGGTATTATAAAACATTCAAATGTCCCTTAAAACTGATAATCATGTTAAAGTAAAGTTATTTGTGGTTATAATCTCATTTTGATAACTTCCATTACTCAATTCCTCCTAAGGAATTGAGGGAGACGGATTGAATGGAAGCCCAATTTTATATATAAAAGTTCCATTTAAGTTGTATTAAAAATAGACATACAAAAAAACCCTTTTCACTTGATGTTGGTTAGACCATAAAGTTTGTGTGTTCTGTTGCCCTTCAAACTGCTCAGTTCTCAAGGCAGCTTTTGCAGTTAGTGGAGGAGGTGGTTTAATGCAGCACTCAGGCATTTGTACTTGACACATAGGGAGTGTCTGTGCTCCAGCCTCCTGGAGTGTGTGGCTTTTTAAGGGATGGGATGGGACAGGGCAGGTGGGGTCCGGAGTAGATGTGTTCATCACTTGTTCCACTGTGTTAATACTGTTTTCCTTACCTATCCCCCCATCCCCAGCTTTCTCCTGCTATGCATTTTCTTCACAGCGCAGCTTGCAGTCCGTTGCTGAAAATGATTATAAAGCTCTGCATAGTGTTAAAGCTTATTGTGATTTTGTGTATGTTTCTTTTTAAGCAGACCCACGCCTTTCCAGGGTCAAAGTACAGGATAGAATACAAACTTTCATTTTTATCCATTTTCTTTTCTCTGTGTAAAGACTTCAGAAGTCTAATTCAGAGGTGGGCCAATTCAGAATTGACTGTAATTGATCACATGCTAAAAGTATTTATGGGAAGAGTGACATATAGCATGAATTATCTGATTTTTGTAGGGTATTTTAAGACTTCATTTGCAATTCATGTAACAGTTGTGTCTTAAATTTACACAATAAAGCAGTCCTGTTCAATTTTTTTTTTTTTAATGTGGCTTGAAGAATTTTTTTCAAGTGAATTTTAGATCTGCTTTTTTCATGTGGAATGCAGATGGGTGCTATCAGAGCCTCTTCCCCCATCACTATAGTATAATATCATTATTACACCACACTGAAATGTATTCAGAAACAGATGTTGTTTCAGTCTTATTCTTTCTTAAGAGGCGTTTCAGTCATACCGAAGATACTGTTCCTTGCACTGAATATATAAACACTCCACAGTGTTTATATTGGGAAGATACTGAGAAGGAAGTATATTTGTTAAAGATGAAGACTGTATCCATTTATTTTCTCTTTTTTTTTGATTTAACACTGGTTCACTTAAATTCTTTTGAGGTTCGGATGCATTTTTCTTGCTATTCAGTGCTTTATCCTTCTCATATCTGTTGTTCTGTGGTCACAGTGACCTTAGCTATGTAGCAGACTTTCCCAAATGTATGGAGTGCAAATAAACAGTTACCTAGCAAGAACTGAAAATATGCCTGCAGGTTTCTCCTTGAAGCAAATGGGTGGGGATTGCTGTATTTTATGCCCACTTTTTTTCCCATCTGAGCTGTGAAAAGACAGATTTAAATCATTGATGTTCATTTTCTTTCCAGGGTTATTTACCAAAATTTCTACAACTACCACCAAAAGAAACACCTTTTCTTGGTGATTTTTTTTTTTTTTTCTTTCCAGTTTTTGTTGAAGATACAGCCTCCTGGCCTGACACATTAATGAATAACCAACAGTTTGCAGCTTTTAAAAAAACACTTATAGCAGGGGGCCAATGACTCACGTCTGTAATCCTAGCTACACAGGAGGGTGAGCTCAGAAGGATTGCAGTTTGAAGCCAGCAGTTCATAGAAGACCCTTCCTGGAAAATACCCAACACAAAGGGCTGGTGGAGTGGCTCAAGTGGTAGAGTGCCTGCCTAGCATGGGTGAGGCTCTGAGTTCAAACCCCAATACTGCCAAAAATTAAAATAAAAAAAAAAAGCACTTCTGGGGCTGGGGATGTAGCTCAATGGTAGAGCCTGCCTAGCATGTGCAAGCCTCTGGTTGGATCCCTAGCACCAAAAAATGACCTGTCAGATTCTTACATGCTGGTTATCTGCTCCACTGTCATAAAATGCCAACTCAGATACGTTTCTCCATTTTTCTTATTCACAAAGCACCCTTCACTTTTTTCAAGTTGTCACGTTACTAAATGGTGTTACATTAAAGCCCTGTGTTAAGTGACTGCTTTTGACTGAAGTTCTTTAACCTTCCACGTGTGTTTTTCTGTTTCAGTAGTGGCCACTATCTGAGTTTCTTCATGGAAACTACTATAAACAGTGAAATAATTACCACGAGTTTGATTCGTTTAGCTCTTGCCTCTTCTTCCTGCCCAGTTGCTCGGTTTGTTATGTGAGAGGGCATGCTATTGGTTATTTGTAGGTAATGTTTGCCGGGATGTGGGGATGGGCCCTGAGAGCTCAGCTGCTGCAGTAATACTCCCAACCCTGTAGGTAACATTCTTCTGAGATTATGGGAGCCATTGAACTTTTGAATTTTTATCAGAAAATTTTACTCAGCATCAGACTTTTCACAGTTACGCCCAGGGTATTTTATGCACTCACCAGCTTTTAGAGTGCTTACTGAAGTGGTTGTACGTAAAACACGTAGTGCTTCTAGTTGCTGTTTTTTCTTTAAAAAAAAGTCGTTTAGGGTTGGTGGTTAGAGTCGTTGACTGGAATGCGTGAGTACTTGGGTCCCTGCAAAACAGACGCGTTTTTAAAGACTGTGTTGTAAGCTTTGTTTTGAAGACTGGTAAGCAGGGTGCACTGTGGCTCTCATGGGCCCTAGGCACTTTTGCCTTTGCTCCATTTCCTCCATTAAAAAATCAGATTTTTTTTGGTGGCACTGAGGTTTGAATTCAGGGCCTCACGGTTGCTCTTAACGCTTGAGCCACTCCACCAGCTAGACAGAATTCCTATTTTTCTACTGCAGTTGTGTGCAAACATTTGGCTAAGGGCTCATATTTATACTTCTGATTTTGAGACTAAACCCTTTTCATGAGCCCCAGTAAGAAGAGTACGTTTGAGCAGCAGTGTGCAGCCTCCCCAGCAGTATGACTCCGATGTGGGTTCCCAGGCTCTGACCCCACGTGCTAGCTAACTGCAGTGCTCGCACGATCTCGGCGCTCCTGTTTCTTCCTCTGCCCCGTTGCCTACTGGTTACATCACCGCAACCCACTCTTCAGTTGGATTTTGTTGAGCGAGTCCATCTAACCAAGCCCCATGTTTTAAACACATGCAGTTCGTGCTCCCTGTTGATTGAAATGCCCCTTGAAAATGCAGTCCTCTCTAACGGAGCCGATTTTATTTTTCCTAAGTAATGAGACTTGTTCAGACTTCTGTAAGTGGAAACTGGGCCCCAGTGATTGAGAATGGTGCAGGAGGGAAACCTCTACCGGCCAGCTCGAGAACTGACGAATTACGGGGGTGGCTGTAATGAGGTCAAAGGAAATAGCGTGGGTACTTGAGTTTATCAAAGCCGAGTTCGAAAAGTAGTAAATGGTGTAGCCAGTCAGCGCCAGGCAGGCATGGGGGTCTAGCAGTTAGCTGCACTCGGCGGACTGAATCCGCTTTCCTCGGAGACCCGGAAGGGCCTGCCTTCAGGGGGCGGTGCTAGAAACTTGTGTCGCTCTTGCATGGGCTCCTGTCAGTCACAGCTCGTTGTCCAGGACTCAGGCCCGCCCAAGGGCTTCCCTTCGCAGCGCACTTGAGAGTTCCTTTTAAATACCGCTCTGGAGGCCAACCGGACTCCTTACGTGCTCGCCCCCACGGCCTCGGCGGCCGGCTCTTCCTTTTCTGATTGGCTGGAGCCCCTGCCCATCCGCCATGACGCGTGAGCTCGCCGGCCCAGGCTCCGCCCTCTTCCGAGAGCCCCGAAAACAATTTTAAGATGGCGGCGGCGGCGGCGCGGAAAACAATGGGGTCGGGGCGGAGGGGACAGGCCGAGGCCTGAGGTGGGCAGTGAGTGCCGGCCCGGAGTCGGGCAGAGCGGGGCAGGAGGAAGATCCGCTGCCGCGCGTGAGCCCGCTCCGCAGCCCGCGGGGACATGGCGCGGCCGTGAGGCGGACCGGGGCCGCCGGGGGGAAGCAGAGCCCACAGTGCCAGCCGGCCCCGAGAGGCCCGGGCCCGGCCCGTGCAGCCCGCGGCCCATGGTGCTGCCCACCTGCCCCATGGCGGAGTTCGCGCTGCCGCGGCACAGCGCGGTCATGGAGCGCCTCCGCCGGCGCATCGAGCTTTGCCGGCGCCACCACAGCACCTGTGAGGCCCGCTACGAGGCCGTGTCGCCCGAACGCCTGGAGCTCGAGCGCCAGCACACCTTCGCGCTGCACCAGCGCTGCATCCAGGCCAAGGCTAAGCGCGCCGGCAAGCACCGGCAGCCGTCCGCCGCGGCCCCGGCCCCGGCGCCCGCCGCGCCCGCCCCGGCCCCGCGCCTCGACGCAGCCGACGGCCCCGAGCACGGACGCCCGGTCGCGGTGAGTAGGGAAGTCACTTGTCGCAGCGGTCCCTTCTTCCCGAAAACGCTTCCCGCGACGCCCATCTGGCCTCGGGGAAACCTATCCGTGCGCCCCAATCTCGGGCCTGGCTCCGGGGAGACTAACCTGGCAGGGAGCTGGCTAAGCGGTTGTCATCTTCGGGAAGTGGCACTGTGGCATTACTTTGGGACTTTGCAAGAGGCCCGGGCTGGGGAGGCAGGAGGAGAACGTTCTCTGCAAGGGTTTTCTTCCAGACTTGTTCCAAAATGTTGAGAACTTTTGTCACGGACCAGCATTCGGGTGGCCTGAGACGTAAGGACTTCTAGCCCAGTAGGCCTGACCTCATTTATTCTGCAAATGTTGATTGGATCCTTGATCTTTGCAAGGTCCTGGGCTGTAAGCAGGGTTGGGGCTTTAAAATGGAAATAAGTCGGCCTTCAGTTGACAATATCAAACTGCGTCTGGAATGGGAAAGCTAAAAGTCTTTGGGAACCCAAGTGAAATGCATAGTGCTGCTGGGTTTCACGAAAGGATTCCTTATTTAGGCAATCCTGAAATTTGTGAACTTGAGATTCCTGCAGTATTGTTGACAATTGCAATTTTAATCGATGAGCCCTGTTTAAATCTGATGATGTTTGTTAGTTGTTGGTAAATTGTTACGCCTTTCGGGTTTTTAGTAAATATTACTGAAATTTGTTGGTTAGGAATTGTTCCTCCCTGAAACTAATTTATAAAGGGGAGGCAAATTTTATGTACGGTGAGTCGGGGGACTTTTTGGTATGGGGTTCTTGGTAATTTAAAGTTTAAATCAAAGTGTTACTATTCTAATTTGCTTAGTGTATTTTTAATTCGTGCCTTTATTGTCTCTCAACCGAGGCTATTTCAGTACTTTTCCCTAACTAGTCTTTAGGCTTTCAGTCTCTCTCTCTCTCTCTACTTGAAACTCTTCTGTTGCTTGAAGGAATGAAGTTGAATCATTTTGGCTGGGCTTTTGGGATCAGTCTGATCTAATCTATCTTTCCATGTCCCCCACAGATCTGCTACTTTGGCTGAATTTTCAGTCTCTCCCATAACTAACTTCAGCTGCTGGACTTGAAGACAGAATAAATACTTGGGTTCAAAACCGGGTTTCATAGCTGATTGTGTCTACTGGCCAAGCCTTCTCATCCTCACTTTTCTTGCCTGTCAGGAGGTGTGGAGGGGTGGGCCCATATGTTTGGCTTCTTAGAAAGAGTCTTGTAAGTTCCAAAAGAAATGAGAGGATGTGAAAGTATTCACTGAAAGGCCTGTAGGACCTTCTCATCACCTTGCAGACTCCTGCCAACCCTGTAGTCCCAGCTCAGCCCTCCCTCTGCTTCACAGCTAGCTTCTGAAAACCCTCACCCACAACAATCAGAATCTCCTGTGTCAAAACATTTATGACACATATTGTCCATGCTACTTATTTTTAGCACCGAGTCACATATTACTTTCGTCACATTGTGTCTTGCCAAGCAAATTGTAAGCTCTTGGAGACAGAGAGGTCGGCTCAGAGTCCCATACATGTCTCAGGCCCTCGGTGCATGTTGTTGAGTGATATTAAACTTGGTGGTGCTTTACTCTGTAGTCTTCCAAAATGACTTAACTGCATGAGTCACCTTTACTAACAGTTTTTGTTTTAAGGAAAGACACCTAAACCACCACCCCCTGCTGAGATTTGAACTTGCGGCCTTTCATATGCCAGCAAGTGCTCTATTACTAAGCTAAACTTCCAGCCCTAAAGAAAGACTTTTTTTTTTAGTGGTACTGGGGTTTGAACTCAGGCCTGCTAGGCAGGTACTCTATCACTTGAGCCACTCCACCAGCCCAGGAAAGACTTTTAAGAGTAGTGGGTGGTCATTTCAATTGAACAAAATAATGAAAACTCATAAAAATCGTATTTCTACAAACAAATAGTTGTCTTGAACACCCCCTAGAAAGATTCAGTTTCTGTTTAGTTATGGTAAGAGTTTAGAACCTATATGGATTTCTTTGTTGTTAATTCTAAATCATTAGCGAGAAATTGGGAGCACATCCAATTCTTGAAGAGAAATGAATTCTGTATTAGAACTTGAATCTGTCTTGCAAGTAATTCCTGTGATGTCAGAACCTGATCACATGTGCCATGTTGGGTTGATGTCTTCCTACATTAAACTTGTCCTGGGAGGTCTCATGAGCTTCAACTTTGAAGTAGGTAGTACTCTTCTTTGTCTTTTCTGGGAGGAGGGACCCTTTTCATTTCAGGCTCCAAATCCTAGCTGAGCTGTTCAGCCTTGGAATGGGGGCCAGAAGATAAGTATCACAAGAAAACAGTGGTGTTTTCCTCTGAACTCCTTCAGTTCAGAGAGGGAGAGAGTCCTTGACTGTGTAAGATATTGACTCGGAAAGCAGCGTTTTGCATAAGGAGATGGAAAGAAGACACTCCTAGTCATTGTTACTTTTGACAAGTATTTGATCTCATTAATATTCCTTATAGAAGGAATATTACTAGTTTTTAGTCTTTTTCAAGTGTGTTATAATACCATTAGGTGGTCATTGCATAGCCAAAGTTCCTTAATCAGCAGACCTTTTATATGACTTTGAAAAGGGATCGGGTATTACTAATAAAAATACACCTTACTTCAGGTTATTTTTCTTAAGATATCCATCCCCTCATGCCCCATAGCCAAGGCTTAAATACCATCTGCTTCCTCTGTTAGAGGTGAATCAGTCCTGCTTCAGGCTTTTTTCTCTCCTAGTTTTTAAGGAATGAGCATATTAGGTTTTCTTTATACTGTGCTCTTAAAAAACAAATACTAGGATTGACTTATTTTTACTAGGATTTCTGGGTTATGAGCATTATCCACTCACTTCATACAAATGTTCATTCTATAAATGAAAATAGCCTTTTAAAGCAGTTTGGACATTTTCTTTCTATAGTGAAATGCCGTAAAGGTTTATTCCCATTCTTTTTATCAACGGCTGTTAGACTTTTGCTGCTGATCCAGAGGACCTTACTCCTAAGTGGTTGTGATAGTTGACAATTGCATGCCACCCTTTCATCATGGAAGCCATTTTTTCCACCTTGTTTTAGAGGTGTGCAAATTTCTCACTTTCTTAATTTTTTTTTTTTTTTTTTGGTGCCACTGGGGTTTGAACTCAGGGCCTCACAACTTGCTAGGCAGGGGCTCTACCACTTTAGCCACTCCACGAGCTTGACCTTTGATTCTTAGATAATTTCAGACTTAGAGAAAAGCTGCACCAATATTAAGGTGAACATCTGCAGGCCTTTTACTTAGATTTCACTTCTTGCCCTATTGTCTCCCTTTGCTTTATTGTTGCACATTTCCTCCACTCCTCCCCACTCTGCTTTGTTCTCTGAGCCACCTGAAGATGCACTCTTCCTGGCTGTCTACCCCCAGTTATCCCAGTGTGTGATAACTAAGAGTTAAGTTAAACACTTAATAGTGTTTTGTTTTGTTTTGTTTTGTTTTGGCAGTACTGGGGTTTGAACTCAGGGCCTACCCCTTGAGCCACTCCATCAGCTCTTTTTTGTTAATGGGTTTTTTCAAGATGGGACTGACTTCTAACCATGATCCTCCTGATCTCTGCCTCCTGAGTAGCTAAGATTACGGGCATGAGCCACCATCCAGCTCCCTTTTACCTTCTTCATATTTATTGTCTCCTTTCCCTCTGGGTCCTTCTTGTCAGCTTTAAAATGTGAGCAGATATCCTCCACAGTGAACAATCTTTTGTTTTCTCTCTCTCAAAATAGTATTCCATTTTCTTCCTTCCCTTTGCCCTTTCCACCTGAATTTCCCACTTACTTATTAGCCCATTGTAATCTGTCTTCTACCTCTTCTACTCTTCTGAAATTGTCCCCTTAGAGGACACCAAGGATGGAATTGCCAAATTCAGTGGTTTCTTAGTCATTGTTCTTGACTTCCTCCTTTATAAGGCTCTTCTCTTAGTTTCTATTCTCTTCTGATTTCTAGTTTTGTGGGGTTTTTTTTCCCTTTACTCTACCTTATTAATTCACACAATAAATGTTTCAGCATCTACTGTGGGCCAGAGTATTCTAGGCACTAGTACACAGCAGTGACAAGACAAATTAAAACTCTGCCATCATGGAGAGAGACTAATTTTAAAAGTTAATTTTAGATGGGCATGGTGGTTCATATCTATAATCCCAGGCAGAGTCAGGAAGATCTTGAGTTTGAGACCAGCCTAGACAACTAAATGAGACCCTGTCTCAAAATATAAAAAAAGGGTTGGGTATGCAACTCCGGTAGAGCGCTTGCCTAGTGCTTGCAAAAAAAAGCCAGGTGCCAGTTCATGCCTGTAATCCTAGCTACTTAGGAGGCTGACATCCAAGATCATGGTTCAAGGGCAGCCTGGGTTAAAGAGTTTGCAAGACTGCATCTCAGTGGGAGTGGGAGTGCACCTGACATCCCAGCAACTTTGGGAAACTTAAAATAGGATTACCATCCAGGCTGGCCTGGGCAAAAAGTGAGACCCTATCTCCAAAATAACCAGTGCAAAAAGGGATCATGCACTAGACCACCTGCCTCCAAGCATGAAGCCCTGAGATCAAACCCCAGTACTGCCAAAAAAACATAGTTAATTTTATGTTATGTTAAATGCTAAGCAGAAATTGAAAGAATAATGTGATACCAAGTGACTGACAGTGGCAGTTTAACATAAGATGCTCTGTCTTACTTGAACTTGAAGGATGGAAGGTTTTTCATTAGTCAGTTGAAAGTTTCAGGAAAAAACATTCTAGTTAAAGCGAAACACTAGCACAAAGTCTGAGGCAGGAGCTTTCTGAGCTTTCGTGAAGAACAGAAAGAAAGTCAGTATGCCCAGAATAGCTTAGCAGGTAGGCAACTAGTATGAGAGGTTGATAAGCTAGGACTAGGTCAGGTGCAGTCAGAAGCCACAGCAGACTTGACACAGAAATGTAAAGCGATCTGTCTTTTCTTTTTTTTTTTTTCTCAACAGTA